AAAAAAAGTAAGCTATTTTTGCATACTTATCATCATTCATTATGTTGTTTTTAGTAGAACTTTTCATAGAAGAAAATTTAGAGAAAATTAAGAAATTTAATTATAGTGCCTCGACCCTATACAATGTTTAGTGTTGTCGTGTTGAATTCAACAAGAAAACTAACAAGAAACAGGGAGCACAACATCCCAGTGTTATGTTTATAGTGTCGTAGTGTTGTGCACAACATTTTAGCGTTGTGGACAACATTTTAGCGTTGAATGTGAAACACCATAGTGCTAGCTTGGAGAAGTTTTTGCTGAAAAATTTGAGAGCTTAGTGCCATATTATTGTTTTTGGCATTATATTGCTATATTGTCATAACGGGAGGATTTGAAGAAAAAGTGCAAAGCATTTTAGCACCATAATTTAAAGCATTTTAGCACCTGAAAAAAATTATTTTATGCTATAATGATAAAGAGCTTCGCGCATTAACACTGTGTCTCAAAGTTGTAATGTCATTCCAAGCACCACGACAATGTAATTGAGTGCCACAGTATGATGTCGTTGATCAGTCAATTTTAAAATAGTTTTGGAGCTAATCCAGTGAGTCATGGAGGTGTTTTTAGAGATTTATGACCATGGAATCAAAGAGGGAACAATGTAAAAATGGTTAAAGTGTTATTAGAGTGGTAGGGTGTGTAAAGTGTGTTGTGAGATTGAGAGTGTGAAGTAGAGAAAGGAGTTCAATGGAGATGATTACGCAAGAAGTGATAAGCAAACATAATTAGATTCAAGAGATAAAAATATGGTTCTTTCTTTTATTAATTTGATATATATAGTATGATTTTTTTATGTTAAAGTTTTGTATCTTTATTTATCCTTTCTTCTTTATGTGTATGAATTAAATTTCTTTCTCCAGATTTATGGCGAATTTAAAATGCTCAATATAATTATTATGTTGGTTTATATGTAATAAAATTGTATATTTATTTTATTTATTTTGTTCTTCATTTAATTAGAGACTTTAAGATGGGTTATCTAACCTTATGGTGCATTGAATATGGAATGCCATTATGCAAGTTTAAATATCATATAATATGTCTATCTTTTACTTCTTCCTTATCACCATGAGGGCCTAGGGGAGTCATACTTACACTTGACAACATTTTCTCTCAAATAAAATGATATTATTTAAAATTTTATCTAACTTGGTTAGAGTTTTTTTTTTGGTGAAATCAAGCAATTCATTACAATTTTAATGAGTATTAATAAATACTTCCACTCCTTAGAATTATTAGAAAAGAAAGCCAGTCCTTTAAAAATTACTTCCAAATATTTTTCTTAAGGTTTTGCCAATCAATTAAGGGCTGGATTATAAGCTATTAGAGGTTTTTATCTTTAATCTTTCTACTCATTGCTAATACATTAACCATTTCATTCATATGCTTACCATAAACGCCATGTTGAGGCTCAAATTATGGTTGATGAGGCCATTAAAAAAAAGTAAATAAATTAATTATTATTCATTCAATTGAAGGAATGCTTAGGTGAGGATAGCCATCCGAATAAGGAAAACATAAGAAAATTGAAAATTAGTTCTCCATCCTTGACAACCTTTACAATAAATAGAGCTTATATAGAGATAAGAGTACACTCACCTCAACAAACTTCATTTCATTTTTCTAATAAGCATTCAAGGTGAAGAGATTATTGAATGAACAAAATTGAACTTTGAATATTAGGATTAATACTAGCTCTTCCACCAAAGTTTCAGACATACAATAAAAAAATGCAAATAAGTTAAAAGAATAATTGAGAGAATAATTTATTGGGTTTCTTGGTTCCTTTGTTTGAGAACAACTTACCAATGCTAGCACTAATCATATTGAGAGAAATATCACATCAATAATAAAAAAAATATTTTTTGAGTGGTTAAGAAATTAAGATTATTATAAATAAGCACAATTATCTAATTAACTTATAGTCACCATTTATGTAGGAACTACTATTAAATAAATATCATTATAACTGTCATATAATATTTATCAATTATTATTAGGAAGGGTTCTAAATCCTAAATTAAAGCTTGATCATTAACAATCTTTAGATTATTAGCTTGTGCTATAATGTTGAAGGAATCTTAATTAATATTAATGAGAACCTATTAACATCATATTATAATATATTTTCATCAATCTCTTTCCGTTTAAAGATAACTTCAATTGTTGTAATAATGTAGTGTGAGTTTGAGATTTACCTAGTAAGAGTTAAAGAGACTATCACTCTCCCATTACAATTGAAGAGCTATCTTGAGAGACGACTAACTTGATTTATTTAATATTAATTACATTAAATTTAAACTTTTTTGCGATCTTTGGACGGCCACTCTAAGCAATATTCAATAATGTAATTTTCATTGACATTCTTAACATAAAATTTTCAATTCTTGTTAGAATTAAGGGAGTATGAGGGAAACCACATAGAACACTATTAGCTATTTTTAATAAGCTCTACTACATCCATTGCCACTATGAATATCAATAACTTTAACACGTAAGGTTTAGATACCTAAAAATGCATCTTTTATGAAAGCCATGCTCACAATTTTACTACTAAATATGAATCCTTTATAAACCTTACAAGCAAATCCATTGCTCTTTTACAAGAAAATGCATGAATATTTAAACTTTCTACATAAGAATTAATACATCTTTATATAGTATTTGGAGGATATGCTTAAAGGTGACTCTAAGATTATCGTAAACTGCCTCAATATGAATCAAACATTTAAGATGGCCATTCAAAAATAAAATTTTGCTTTAAACTATATTCTATAGTGATATAGTAAAAATTCAATAAACTCTTGGACGTAGAGTTCATTTGTGAAGAATATCGCCCTATTTAATTGGTATACGTTTTTTTAATGGAAAGACTAATGTTTTGTAACTATGAATACACAAAATTACACAAAAAAAAGGTGATAGACACTACCATCCTCACATTTTCAATGTTAAGCTAATGGGGCTACCAAAATGAACTCTCATAATGTTTTTCTTTTAAATATCTACATGGTGCACTATACTTGTCATGATGTGTTAAGATTTTACATAATATGTTTCACTATATTTGAAGTTCATAAATTTTCTATGTCCAATACAAACCTAGAATTTAAGAGTCATTTTCATTGTGGATTACATTCAACGCGAATAAATTAAATAATATGGCAACTTGTATTGTTATATTTTTGGGTATCCTCATATTTGATTTGATCTTTGAACTATTTGTGGAACCAAATTTCTTATGAAAATGGTAATATTATGATATTACAATTGCGTCTTGACTTATGATTGTTGTTTATCAACATCTTTAATTTTTGTCCACAGACCTTTAAAATTATTTTGGATAACTCAATCATAAAAAATTTGATCGATCAACTTTATTGAGTTTGTGACAATGAATAGTTTAAAATAACATATTTTATTCATCGATCAATGATTTTTGCCAAGTGTTGTAATTATATATCTCTAAATCACAAATTGTGCGATCAATTATAACTAATTTTTCATTTGGGCTAGGTTTTTATTGTTTTTATGATAGAAAAAGTAGCTAACAAAATGCAATGTTAATTAAAATGTTTACTTTCAGAGTTTTTCTTATATTTATTGTTGAAAAAAATTGTAGTAGAAAAATAATTCAAATTATAGTTTTAAAAATAAATTTTAATACATCAAATAGAAAAGTATTAATCATTTCAAAAAAGGCTATGATTAGGTCAAATTTCTAAAGATTTGAAAAATTTTTATTGAATAATTTGGCATGCTTGGATGAAATCATCTTCATGAAAAATGAAGAAATAAATTGTTGTATGATAATCTACAATCTAAGCTGAATAAAGATCTTTGGTAGCCTAAATTAATAAACTTCTTCAGTTGCCATGCCTTATTTTATTGCTCAGAGTTGACTAGTCCAATACTTGCATCTTCTTTGTGATAAATCAGTCATAATTGACATCACTATCAATCCTATAGATTTCACAAATGGACAAAACAATATATACACTTCTTGAAATTTCTGTAATCCTTATTTTTTAGAGATTGACCTCTTAAAATTAGATTGAATGTCGTGAAATGAAATAGTCAACTGTATCAATTCATCTCATTATCATTATATGTTAGGTTGCATTTACAATTTAGCATACATATGATCCATGCGACTATTTTAGTACTATATGCACTTTGTTATTGAAAAACGAACTACCTACAAAAACATACCAATTGTGGAGACAATCTATATTACTATATATTATACTTAGGCCTAGGTGTGTAAGTTCGAGTTTACACATTAAATTCAAGCTTGATTTGAATTGACCTGAACCACATCAATTATTTTGTTTCAAAATATTTGATCCAAACCAAATGGTATCCTAAGCTGTATAAACTGAATTCAACCATTTTAGACTATATGTTGTATAGATCATACAATTTTTGTAAATCAACACGACTAAGAGAACCTAATATGAACCACTTAACTCAAACTCGAGTATTATCTAGTTTGAATTATTGTGGTCAAGACAAACCTAATTTAACCTAATATGAACCACTTAACTCAAACTCGAGTATTAATTGGATCAAGTTTGAATTATTCTGGTCAAGACAAACCTAATTTACATAATAATTAGTTTTATAATTTTATTTTGAACTTGCATCCCAGTTACCAATGCAAGCTGCTACCGACATTTACGAACTTTGGCTTTGGCGTTGGTTAACAAAACTATGGCACGTGACAAAAGCATTCAGCTCTGCTTACTGTGCCCGTCGATCCGTAGGCAGCGCCAACTGTCTTCACTGTTAAATCCCTATTTCGGCCCTTTTACTGTGCTCGTACAAATATTCGCTTCGCATTAAAAAATAAATAAAACTTGCGGTCCGTGGTTTCCGCAAGTTGAACCGGCATTCGAAATCGAACCCGGTCGACCCGCGATAAGAACGCAGTAATTAAAATCCTTGCTCTGCTCTGCGCGCCTTCGAATTCTTGTAACACGGCGATCAGGCGAAGTCGGATGGAATCAGAGGCGCATAAAGCTTCAGATTCTTCTCATTCTTTTCGAGTTATTTACCCCGAAAGAGAGCAGAGGAATCGAAGTTGAAGGTAAGGAATCGATTGCATTAATCTGTTTGAAAGCTGAAAAGTCAGCTTATGCAAATCGATTGAATTGTTCTTTGTTGTTGGAAAGGGCTGAGTCCTCCCCGTTGGCGAGGTGATTGCGGGTTTGGCTAGGGGGAAATGAGAAGGGTGGTAGGTATCCATGATGAATCTTTTTAGTATTCTTGGAGATTTCACTGTGGATCAGATTTGGTTGCAGGGTTGTGGATCAGGGCGATGTGGATCTGGGATTGTTTGCCTGTTTTTCTGTGGGATCCGTGGATAGATTTCACTATTTTAATGTTTATAGTGGGGCAGTGAGGATTAATGCGTTTTCGAGTGATATTTTTCGATATTTTTGTGATTTGCGGTGGTTATGTCGATAAAATTTTCATTATTTTGGGGTCTGTGGAAACACCTGGCAAAATGCTGGTTCTTTGAACTCTTCTTTTTAGCGAATTGGAATACTTTTGATTCTTAATGCTGCGCTTGAATATTAGAAATGTGATCTGTACTAGTTTTTATTAAATTCTTTTGTCAGTGGCGCAGCAGGGCTGACTATTCGTGTTAGGTTTATTGCAGGGTGATCTTGATTCTGCGCCCTGATCCTTCAAGAGAGGAAGTTTAATGATAATTAATATTTGGTTGCTATTTTCATAATATTCATGTATGTGGAACTATGTTGATATCTGCTGTTCCCTGAAAGTATAGATTTTTCATTCAATATTTTTAGGTCAATAGATGAGCAGGTGGCTTTTTTTTGTCTGATTAATAATTTATTAATAACTAAATTGTGCGGTTTGCTGTTGCAGGTCATGTCTTCTGAAGGCTGAGCTGATAAGCCCTCTGTATTTCCTCCGTCCGAAGAAATGCCAAGTTAATACACTGTTTTCATTTATTTTCCATTAACGAAGAAACGAAGTTTTGCTCATCAAGGTCTTCAACCTTCTTTTTTTTTTGTACTTATGGAACTGCTTTTCCCATTTATTAGTGTACCATAGCGATGGACTAGAAGAGTCCATTTCTCAAGCTGAGAGGAAAGAACGGAAGTCCGATGTGGAGAACTCTGAGGATGACAGAAGGAAAACAAAGATTGGATCTTTCAAGAAAAAGGCTTTGGATGCCTCTACAAAATTTACACATTCTTTTAAGAAAAGAGGAAAGAGTAAAGTTGATTTCAGGGATCCTTCAGTTTCTATTGAGGATGTAAGAGACACTGAAGAAGAGCGTTCTGTCTATGCCTTTCGTGAAGAGCTGCTTGCTAAAGATTTGTTGCCTTCTAAGCATGATGATTATCATACACTGCTCAGGTTTGATTCAGTCCTCATCCATTTTTTTCATGCTTAACAACATCAATGCTGCTTGTGTTTTCATTCGATAAGGCACGAATGTTATGACACGATGGAGAAAATCTACCAGTGAGAAATTTTATGAAATTGGAAACCGATTTCATCTGTTCATAGCAGGTTTCTGAAAGCAAGAAGATTCAATTTTGCTCAAACAACACAGATGTGGCATGAGATGCTTCGCTGGAGAAAAGAGTTTGGAACCGACGCAATAGTGGAGGTGAGGTTAACCATTTCTTCACAGTTTGCATTCGTAAAATGAGGCTTCTAAGGTAATGATAGACGGACTACCTAAATTATCTAGAAAAGAAAAAAAAAAGTTAAGAACAGTATAGCCACTGAAGAAATAGAAGAATTATTTTGTGTGCCTTAATTTTATTTCACAGTATCAACCGAGGCTTTATTGCCTGAGATTTTCAACATAAGATTTTACATTTGTTTGATGCATTTTATGAATTTTTAACACTATTTACATCTGTTGTTTGAATTAATGTATTTCAAGGAATTGAAAGCTTTATCAGAAGCTTGCTATGAGGCCTTTTTACTCGTGAAAATCTTTTCCATATTTGCTCCGTGTGAAATTTTGTTTTGATAAAGATAAACTGTAAAATAACAAAAAACTAAGTAGTATTGTGTTTGGTTGAATACTCCTTGTTTTAAATGCCCTTCTTATGTGCCAATACTTGTAATATTTTCCATAATAATATGAAAATTGTTTCAATTGAAGGATTTCAACTTTGAGGAGCTGGAGAAAGTTCTTCAATATTATCCTCAAGGTTATCATGGCGTTGACAGGGAGGGCAGGCCAGTATATATTGAAAGACTTGGAAAAATTGAGCCAAGCAAGCTCATGTACATTACTAATTTGGAACGCTACCTAAAATATCATGTGCAAGAGTTTGAGAAAGCATTTCTTCAAAAGTTTCCAGCTTGTTCCATTGCAGCGAAAAGACACATTAATACGACAACAACAATATTGGATGTAGAGGGTGTGGTATGTTTTTTTTATGTTTCTTTGAATTTATCCTGTAAATCAATCTACATATCCTCTAAAGTGTGGATATTATTTGATCGGGATTTGAAGGGATGGAAACATTGGAGCAAAACGGTGAGAGATCTTGTGATGAATATTCAGAAAATAGATGGTGATAACTATCCTGAGGTTGTTATATACAATGCATTCATCTTTCTATTTAAAATTTTAACGGTAGACTTTTTTGAAGTTGCCATTTGGGCTGTTTACTTGTGCAGACATTACATCAAATGTTCATTGTGAATGCTGGTCCGGGATTCAAACTCATCTGGAACACAATAAAGGGTTTTCTTGACCACAGAACTTCTTCAAAAGTACAGGTATGTTCCTCATATAGTAATTAAGGAACTCTTTTTACCCTTCTTTTTCTGCAGTCTGGAATGATGGAGTACTTGTATTTTAAAACATGATTACAGTTACTTGGAGCAAAATATCAGAGTAGATTGCTTGAAGCAATTGATGCAAGGTTTGTCTTTATATGTTTTTAACTCGTCGCCTTCTAATTCTTAATTTATCAACTTAATTAACCTGAGGTTTCTATACTTTAGCCAACTTCCTGATTTCTTTGGTGGTTTGTGCACTTGTTCTGATGCTGGTGGCTGCCTTAAGTCCAACAAAGGGCCGTGGAATGATCCTCTTATTTTGAAGGTCAGAAAAAACTCGCATGAATGGCTACCCTACCTTACTAGATTTACATAACTTATTATTTTAGTTTATTTATGATCAATGAGAAGCAAGATATTACCTGTTATAAGGGCTATAAATGTACTTTGTTTCTTCTTTTGCAAATCTTTGTAGCTTGCTCGTAATGTTGATATATCCTTTGTGAGGCAAATCAGACACGAATCTTATGGAAAGCAAAGAGGCAAGTCCTGCAGAGCACAACCACCACTGAACGTGAGATTTGTTTTACTTTTTTTTGGCTTCATTATATGCATCAACCATCTTTTTAAATCTCCTAAAAATACTATCTTGCTATGGTAGGCAAGTTACAGTGGCACATCAACAGCAGAATCAGAATCAGATGCTGATAATATTTCTCCTGTTCTGTCCAGAGATTCCGAATATTCTCGTCTTGCTCCAGTTCATGAAGAAGTGAGCCTTTTTTTTTTTTCCAATGTAAATTTGACCTTACGTCTGTGACCTGCGTTGGATGTGACAAATTAAACCGCATGGCTTTTGAAAACTGTTTGCCAATCAATTTAAAGTGAACTGCATTGCTCCAGTTCATGAAGAAGTGAGCCTTTTTTTTTGTTTCCAATGTAAATTTGACCTTACGTCTGTGGCCTGAGTTGGATGTGAAAAATTAAGCCGCATGGCTTTTGAAAACCGTTTGCCGTCTTCTTATGTAATATTTTTTTTAACAGTTAGTAAATCAATCTAAAGTGAACTACGCATGATATAAAAGTATATTTGCGATAGTTTTTTTCAATTTTAGGTTTGTTTTCAGTATAACAGTAGCCTTATGTAAGTGGTTTAGGTAGGATTTATGGTTGATATTTGATACACTGATCTCTTTTGGCTTTTTCATTAATTTTGATTATTCTCAACAACGATAAGCAGATTATTGCTCGTGCGTAGTTTTAAAAGAAACAATTGCTCCTAAAAATCTTCCTCTATTTATTCATGACATGGGCTCCTAAATAACAATATTTTCCTCTTACCAATAGGAACCCAAACTAGATACAAATCTCAAAACTCCCCCTCAAGATGGGCAAAAGATATCCACTAAGCTCATCTTGTCCCATAACCTAGACAAATCTAATGAGCCAAGTCCTTTGGTGAGGCTGTCAGTCACTTTCTCCCTAGTGACTACATGAGTTGGCTTCAATAGTCCATTATTCAACTTTTCTTTTATGAAGAACCTATCAATCTCCGCATGCTTGGTTCTATCGTGTTGCACCGTGTGTTTGTAATCTTTGATAGGAATCACACAACGAACAAATCCCAACTTTATTGGAGCTTAGGATCAAATAGAAACTAAATCACACTGTGGAATAATGAGATTGCACTAATTCAATAAAAAACCAGAACAAAAATTAAAACAAAAGCACAATTAAAACAAAACCACAATCAAAACAACTAGAAAAACACATGAGAATTCATTTGGAAAAACCCGAGAACGGGAAAAAACCACATGACTACATCAAAAACTTTCACTATGAAATTCAAAATGTTTTACAAAGAACTCACACAAGTTTTCACTTCATACACAAGAAAAATTTAGAGGACTCGCTCCACATTCTTCCCTCTCTGATTTGACGCAAAAATCAGGTTGAATCATCAAATATCACTTATTCAATACTCATCTCCTTCACCAGGATGCTTTTCAAAGAATATGAAAGGAAAATACACCAAGCCCTACCTTAAGACGCTCAAAATCGGGATTAAAAATCTATTCTCGACACCAATCGCTCCTAGCGCATAAATGTCTAAACTTGGCCCCTATGCTCCAAGCTCTTGGGAAACATGTGTCTATATGGGCGCATATGTGCTCAAAGCTGGCGCATAAGCGTCGGCTTCTATATTTGAGTAGCCCACAACCCGAAGCATAGGCATCGGGTGCTCTGTCCCGCTGCTCTCCAAATCAGTCTCCACTTGTAACAATCTTATACTTGGAGACTGATTGTACTGAGCACCAATCCTCTGTACCTGCACCTCCATTTGAATCGCCTTCATAGTCACGCGTTATGATCACGTACCGTGGTGTGGTTCAGCCTAGGTTTCAATCTTCATGAAACCCAACTAAAGCTAAGCATAGCTTTAGTTTCTTAATAGTTACCACCTTCGTCAATATATCAACAAGATTCTCAACTGTGTATTTTTTCCAAAAATAACTGCTCATCTTTCACAAAAGATCAAATGAAATGATATCTGAGTTGGACTTATTTCGTCTTGGCATGAAGGCGGAGTTCTTAACAAGATGAATCACATTTATACTATCACCGTAGAGTCTTCCAATCCCCTGTTCCTTGCCCAATTCTTACATGAAACTCTATAGCTAAATCATCTTCTTGCTAGCATCATTAATAACAAGCATCCATAGTAGAAAGTGTAATGATCTTTTACAACCTGGAAACTCAAATCACTGTTGTGCTCCCCAATTTGAAGATATATCCCACTGTACTTTTATTACAGTCCACATCTTCTACCAGTTCTGAATCTACAAATCCCTATAGACTGATCTCTGCACTTCCATAGCAAAGTGTTCCATTGATTGTTGCTCTCAAATGCCTGAGAATCAATTTTATCGTCTCTCAATGATGCTTGTCTGGATTGCCCATATACATACTGGCCACTCCCATTGCATATGCAATATCTGGCCTGATACAAATCATCACATACATCAAACTTCTAACTGTCAAAGCATACAAAGTTTTCTCCATCTATGCTTTCTCTGCTTCAGGGTTTGGCGATAACTCTTTAGATAGTTTGAAGTGACTACCTAAGGGAGTGCTAACTGGTTTCACCTCACTCATGTTGAACCTTTGTAGGATCTCCTCAATGTACTCTGCCTGAGAGAACTTCATTGTTCTTGCACTCATATCCCTGTTGATTTTCATTTCGAGGATTTTTTGAATGGATATAAATCTTTCACCTCAAACTTACTTGATAATTGTATATTCAAGTCTCTGATTTTCTTCATATCTGCCCTTACAATCAGCATCACATCCACATACAAAAACAAGTAAAATATAACAGTCATTGAAGTGTTCGATGAAATAACAATGATCTGTCTGACACTTCATATACCCATTGTATGATATGAATTCCTCTAGATCTCCATGTAAGAAAGTTGTTTGTACATCAATCTGATCCAAATAAAGATCTTCCACTGCTACTATACTTAGCACAACCCCGACAATAGTCATCTTCTTCACTGGAGACTTCGTGTACCTGTCTAGGTTAAGAAAGTTGTAAGGTGCCGATGAATTTTTAGCACTAAGTTCAACTTTGACGGATCCTTTGAACGCAATAAGGCAAAATTAGTCATCAAAGAATACACTCAGATCTACGAGTTCTTTGAATCTGGATTAGTCTTTATTTCAACTAGATGTCAAGAATATATTCTTGAATGGAGAGTTGATAGAAGAGATGTACATGTCTCTTCCTTTTGGTTTTGATTATATTGCCTCCAGATGACAAGTGTACAGGCTACGAAAGTCTCTCTATGGGTTAAAACAGTCCACAAAGACCTAGTTTGGCAAGTTCACAAGGGTGATTGTGGGCTATGGTTTTATTGTAGCTCAATAGAATCAAACCCTCTTCTTCCAACATTCTTCAAATGGTCAGTTAGCTATCCTTATTATCTATGTTGACGATATTGCTCTTAAAAGTAACGATTTTCTAGCATTAGTCTTTAAAAGATATTCTTGCTTCGCCCTTCAAGATGAAGGACTTGAAATCCCTCCAGAATTTCTTAGGCATGGAAGTGACGCAGTTATCTCGGGTAATTTGCTTGTCTCAGCACAAATATGTAACTGATCTCTTGACAGAGAACAACTTTCTTCTGTGCATACCTTCTGTTGTTCCCATGGATCCTAATGAAAAATTGTTTGACATTTCCAATGTTGTTCCCGTCAACAAGACTCATTACTAGCACATTGTGGGAAAACTCATCTACATCGCTCATACTTGCCCTGACATATGCCAGACAATTGGAATTGTGAGTCAATTCATGCATGACCCCAACGAGCACCACCTCCAGGCTATCAACCAGATTCTCCACTACTTAAAAGGTACACCAGGCTCAGGTTTGTTTTCACTCATCACATCTTTCGGTCTATTGTTGTTTATACAAATGTTAATTGGGTCAAATCAGTTCATGATCGACATTCCATCTAGGGGCATTACTCATTTGTATGGGGCAGCCTTGTCTCGTGGAAAATCAAGAAACAATCTATGGTTGCATGAAGTAGTGTTGAAACTGAATTATGATCCATGTCCTTAGGAATCTATGAAGCACTCTGGCCATGCATCATGCTCCGCGAATTTTGTATGCCAACCTTTGTCCCGCTGTAGCTATTCTATGATAATATGACTGCAATCAACATTGCTCACAATCGGTCCAATATGATCGTACCAAATATATGGATATCGACAGATACTTTATTAAGGAAAAGATTGAGTCAGGGGAGATTTGCGTTCATATGTGTCATATAATAGTCAACTAGCGGACATCCTCACCAAGAATCTGCCTTGCTCTTTGTTTGATTGTTTTAAGTCCAAGTTGAACATGACTGACATCTATGCTTCAACTTGAGGGGCTGTATTAGATTATAATAGTTATCCCTAGCCATTATTACTTATTATTTGCTCTTATTCCCTGATTATATATTTTTTATTTTGCTTTATCTTGATTTATTTTCTTTCCTAGTTCTTTTATTATGTTATGCCTATTATAATTAGGTTTAAATACCCCTCCTTCTATCAATAATATTGTGTTGGCCTATTCCAAATCTCAATTAAGGGAAATTTTTAAAAGATACAAGCCTTAAAGATAGCTAAACAAAAGTTGAATATATGATTTATAATTTTTGTAGGCATGATTTCACCAATTGGCATTTAATATTATTAGAAGATAAGCTGATACCTAGATATGATTTGTTTAACTATCTTGAGTCTATTATATAGAAGAGAGGAGATATTGATGTGGAAATAATTTCTTAGAATTTAAGTTGAATGTTAAAATTGAGAAGTGCCTTGGGTTTATTTATTTTTTATTTTTTATTTTTATGGTGATAATAGGATATCAGGGAGGAGCAAAAAGCAAGTTGCTTTTTTTTTTTTTAAATTGACATTAGTTGGTGATGTTGTCTTCATCTGAATATTGGGTAATAAAAGCCCTTGATATCTAAGTTAATGTGATAAAATGGAAAATGTTGGGATTAATGTGCTGCTGAACTTGAGAGGATAAATTATGGAATGATTATATTTGAGGAAAAATTTACATATATTAAAATAAGCCAATGGGAAACAAACTTGGGCTAATTTTATATGTGTAGTTGTGAATGTTAAAAAATATACCCATTGATATGTTCATAAAATTACAGCCTGTGGATTATGAAAGAAGAGGGCTATAGTTTATATAGATAAAAATTGTTCAAAATGATTTGTAAAGAATATGTTTACCATCTTAGACAACACTCAACCATAATGGCTATAAAATGAGGATGCATAACAATGTCCGCAATCAATTGGGATAAGGCTATAATCATCATCATAATCTTCTTCATTTGTTAAGTTTTAAATGGTTTACTGTGAAGTTTTTTGGCATTCTTCTGCCTCAAGCATATGCTTTTCTCTGTTTTGCTACCCCTTCAACCTATACCGACATGAAACTAAGAACTATACATTAGGCCTGGGGAGACTTAATATTTCTCGTCTATTAACAGCATCTTGTTGAAGGGCTGCATTGTTTCAAGTATAGCTGTAGTGAATATTACCTTCAGAATGACTTGGTTCATCTATTAGGCTGGGGAAGTTCCTTAAACAATTAAGTGCTATATTCATTACTTAAATTTATTTATTTAAAAAATTCTCAAATAATATATATCTTTCCTTAAATTTCCTAGTGGAAAAAAAAAAAAACAATTTCAAGTGATTTCACCCGAAGTCAACTCTCCTCATTCAGTTTAAATAATATGAAGTCTGGTTGTGTATTGATTAAGCTTTGATCAAAACCAGCATAACTCAATGTAAATGATGCTATAATCTTTTGCTTTGATCACCTACCTATCGTACTCTTACAATCACAAGAAAATAGTTTCCTTAACATGACTTATTGCTAGATATTACATGCTATGAAAAATCATTAGTTTGTTCTGTAATGAATAATTGCTGGAATAGGTGATCATATTTATTACTTTTTATTTATGTTGTCCAGGTTCGAGCAACCAATTCCTGCAGCTGTGAAGACCGTTTTGGTGTGGTTGATAAAGCTATTGACCATGGCACTCCCGGGGCAGGATCTTCTAGAATGTCAATTAAAAGAGATAGAGAACAAATAAATCGTGATGGTAAGAAAACAATGTTCATCATAGTGAAATCAATTAAGTTATTTCGTTTTCTTCATTTTCCTTTTAAAAAAATATTACTGAAATCCCATTCCAGGTTTCAAATTGGATGAAAATGAAAAACTGAATAATTGTTTCTTGTTCCATTAACCTGTTATAATAGGTAACAGAACGTCATTAGTTTGAGGGTAATCTTGACTGAGAAAATTTGTTGAAATGAATTGTAATTTCAGTTATTATAATGCTTGTTTCAATTAAGTTGAAATGACTTATTTGTGCGCTAGCCGAGAAAATTGACATTTGCATTACGTAGTGAATTTTCTCGCAATAATACTATTAGTACTTGAGTATTAGTTTCCTTAGATGTTACAATGTGGAATTGCATTATTTTTGCCACGCTGTGTATAATCCTTTTTTCTTAATGCAATTTATAGGCTGCACCATTACCTCCCTGCATCAAATATAAAGTTGTTTAGTGATTAGCTTTTTATGTTCCAGGAAATTCAGGCCTCAGTTGGCCCAACGAAGGATCAATTGAAGGAGTTTTGAGATATTTTGCAATGGTCTTAATGGCATTATTTTTCAAGCTTCTCTCCGCTTTTCGTATTTTGTATAAACAAAGCAGCAGCGCTGAGGCAATTCATCCTTCGTATACGGCAGTATCTCACGCTGAACATAATAAAGTTGTTGAGGTTGTCAAAGAAGACCGAGTTAATCCTTGTTTAGAGCGTATGGAGAGGCTTGAGGAAATGTTCTCAGCGCTCAAAGGCAAACCTGCTGAGATTCCTGTAGATAAGGAGCGTGTGCTAATGGACTCTTGGGATAGAATCAAATCTATTGAGTTTGATCTAGATAAAACCAAGAGAGTATGTTTCTGCATCCATTTTATTTTCTGCTTCCATTTTGTGGATATTCATTTAATATGATCTACCGCTGGTAACAAAGACTCGGACTTGAAATATAAAATCAACTTATTCTTCTTTCGATAGCATTGTGTGACGGTTCATCAAATATTCTTTCTTGGTAGAATTTGCACACCAAACATTAGAGTGTGATCGGTTTACAATGGACGTTTCACTAGGCTTTCATCAAGTACTGTATCTTAAAGTATCCAACTTTCCTAGAATATTTCTAAAATAGCTGAAATTATATGATATAGCAGCATAAAATTCCGTGCTGGTAACCATGTTTAAACCTGTTCTTTCAGCTTTATTTAACAAGTTAAGAAACAGGTTCAAATAAATCCTGAAAATTCTCCAGCCTTTTCATCACGATGATTCAACAGCTACTTCAAGTAATAATTCCTTAGCTTATAATTAAAACTTAAAACATTATATGTTTATATATATATATATAT